ACAACCTAGGAATACATCTAACAAAGAAGGTGAATGATCTCCACAAGGAGAACTACAAAACACTGCTAAAACAGATAAACAGATAGAAAAACATTCCATGCTCATAGGTTGGAAGAATCAACATCATTAAATGGCCATACTGCCTAAAGCAATCTATAGATTTAACACTATTCATATCAAACTACCAACATAATTTTCCACAGAACTAGAGAAAGCTATTCTAAAATTCACAGGAAACCAAAAAGGAGCCTGAATAGCCAAAGTAATCCTAATCACAAAGAACAAAGCCAGAGGCATCACATTACCTGACTTCAAACTACACTATAAGCCTACAGTAACCAAAACAGCATGGTACTGGTACAAAAACAGACATAGATCAATGGAACAGAATAGTGAATCCAGAAATAAAGCTGCACACCTACAGCCATCTCATCTTTGACAAAGCTGACAAAAATATGCAACGGGGAAAGAATTCTTTATTCCATAAATGGTGCTGGAATAGCTGGCTAGCCATATGCAGAAGAATGAAACCATACCCCTACCTTTCATCATATATAAAATTAACTCAAGATGGATTAAAGATTTTAATGTAAGAACCAAGCCTATAAGAATCCTAGAAGAAAACCTAGGAAATATCTTCCTGGACATTGGCCTTGGGAAAGAATTTATGACTAAGTTCTCAAAAACAATTGCAACAAACACAAAAATTGACAAGTAGGAGCTAATTAAAGAGCTTTCGCACAGCAAAATAAACTAACAACAGAATAGATAAACTACAGAATAGGCAAAAGTATTTGCAAACTATGCATCCAACAAAGGTCTAATATTCAGAATCTATAGGGAACTTAAACGACTGAAGAAGCAGAAAGCTAAATAACTCCATTAAAAATGAGCAAAAGACATGAACAGATTACTCTCAAAAGAAGACATACAAGTAGCCAACGAACATATGTAAAAATGCTTCACATTACTCGTCATCAGAGAAATGCAAATCAAAACCATCATGAGATACCATCTCATACCAGTAAGAATGGCTACTATTAAAAGGTCAAGAAAACAAGAAATGTTGGTGAGGCTGTGGAACGAAAGGAATGTTTGTACGCTGTTAGTGGGAATGTAAAGTAATTGAGCCATTGTGGAAAGCAGTTTGAAGATTTCTCAAAGAATTTAAAACAGAGCTACCATATGACCCAGCAATGCCATTCTTGGGTACATATCCAAAAGAAAATACATCATTCTATCAAAAAGACATATGCACTTGCATTTTCATTTCACTGCCATTCACAATAGCAGAGACATGGAAATCAGCCTAGGTGCCCATCAATGGCAGACTGGCTAAACAAAATGTGGTACATATACGCCATGGAATACTACACAGCCGTAAAAAAGAACAAAATCATGTCCTTTGCAGCAACATGGATGGAGCTGAAGGCCATTATTCTAAGTGAATTAATGCAGGGAGAGAAAACCAAATACTACATGTTTTGACTGATGAGTGGGAGCTAAACATTGAGTACTCATGGACATAAAGATAGCAACAACAGAAACTGGGGACTACTAGATGGTGGAGGGAAGGAGGAAGGCAAAGGTTGAAAAAACTATTGGTTTCTATGCTCAGTACCTGGGTAATGGAATCATTAATACCCCAAACCTCAGCATCAGGCAATATACCCATTTAACAAAACTGCATACCTACCCCCGAAGCTAAAATAAAAGTTGATTTAAAAATATGATCCAGCAATCCCACTGCTTGGTATATATTTAAAAGAAAAGAAATTAGCATATCAAAGAGATGTCTGTATGCCCATGTATATACTTTGACATTCAGAAAAGTCAAGATTGGAATAAACCTAAGTGTCCATCAACAGATGAATGGATAAAGAAAATGTGATATATATACACAATGGAATATTAGTCCTCCATTAAAAAAAGTGAAATCCTGTCATTTGCAACAACATGGATGAACTGGAAGACATGTTAAGAGAAATAATCCAGTCATATAAAGACAAAGGTAACATGTTCTCACTTATATGTGGGAGCTAAAATGTTGACCTCATGAAGGTGGAGAGTAGAATGGTGGCTACCAGAGGATGTGAAGGGTAGTGGGGAGCAGGGATGAGGAGGATTTGGATAATGGGTGCAAAAATATAGTTAGATAGAAGGAATAAGAGATAGTGTTTGGTAATACAACGGGGTGACTACAGTTAACAATAATTTATTGGATAGTGAATTAATGCAATTTGGAATAAATAACATAATTTGTTGTATATTTCAAAATAAGTAGATGAGTAGATTTAGAATGTTCCCAACCTTAAAGGAGTTATAAATGTCTGAGGTGATAGATACCCCAAATACCCAAATTTGGCCATTACACATTGTATACTTGTATCAAAATATCACATGCACCCCATAAATATGTACAACCATTAGGTATCCATAAAAATTAAACAACACAACATTTGGACAGAAAATAAAATAGTTTTAAAGACACCTGAGTTCTTCCTGTATGCTTTTCTTCTTGTCTGAAATGTGGCTTCTACCTTCATCCCCGTCTCTAAGCTGGGTAACATCTATTCATACTTTATGTCTCAGCATGAATGTTATTTTTGCAGGAAAGTCTTCCTTGATCTAGCAAACAGGTTAGCGCCTCTCTTACACATAGCCCTCAGTACTTTGTTTTCACATGTCTGCCACAAGTCTTGTTCTTTAGATTTTCTGTGACATTTACTTAACTATTTGTTTTTCCTGACCATTTTACAAGCTCCATGAGGACAGGCAATGTAACTAGGTTATTCACTATTGATTTGCCAGTGCCTAACATGGTGTTTGGCAAAAGTGAGTACAAAAATATCTGTTGAATTAATAAATAACCCAAATTAAGCTTTAATAATCTGAAAATTTGGTTAAAATTTAGAAAAAAACTCACCAAACATTCTCCTTTTTCTGTTAAAAGCCATATCTAACAACTGAATACCAAGGGCTTGGCACCCATAAGATCTGTGTTTTTGATAAGATTTACAGTAGTTTGCTTTTTTCCTTAAGGACATTGCAAGTCTTAACACTAATCATGTTTTTCTCATTTACTGGAATTCTAGGAAGGTGAAGGATGAACTTTGCTCAATTCATTAAAAATTTTATCATGCACTTTTGTAAACTGAAATACCCTTCAAACCCAAATAGGGTATAAGGAAATAATAAAGAGTAATAGTATTTACTTTCTGGAATTAAACTCAAAACCAGAACAGGTATTTGGTATCCTATAGTTATCTTTGTTAAGCCCATGGTGGGTATCTGAAAAGAGGTGAGAGTAAAAGAGAACTTGAAGGGACTGTAATTCTTGCACTGGGGCATATTTTGGCTTGAAAAACTGTAAAGCTAATTACCAGAAGAAGAACTAAGTTCATTTACGGTGGATTATACTCCAGAGAGATCGCCTCCCATTTGCTTTCAGAACATTTGCTATCAATAGATTTATGTTCCTGAGGTTTGTGTACTCTGCCTTACACTGTAGTTACGGATGCTGGTGAAGATGTCAGGAACCTAAGAATGAAGTGTGTGGATCAGGGCAGCAGCTGGTTTGCCATCCCTTCTTTTTTCTAAGATTCCTCCTTTTAAACTAATTTCTGTAGCACCCATTTAAAATGGAGGCAAAGAGTGTACCACGGAGATAAAAACCAAAGTTACCCCCACTACAGGATGGGTCTGATAGCCATGCACTTCTTTTGGAGGTGAGGTCCCAAGAATCAGGTCCCGTAATCTTGATTATCACCAGATTTCTCTGAAGTTACCTTAGGACCTTGAGGTAGAGGAAGGAGAACAGAGTAAGTGTGTTCCTTGAACATTCTGATTAAGCATGAGACTTTCATGGAAGGGTCATGTTGAAACAATGTGCTTCTTGTGCTGGGTTTAATGGAGAAGCTTCCTGTGACACGTTTTCCTAATTCTATTTCTATACTAGTTTTAAAGTATATTATTAAATTAAATCAGTTTTGTTGAAATACTGAAATTGCCTTGATGATTCTTCTGGCTGGCAAACCAACTTACTTGGTTTTGTGAAAAATAAAATATTATAGTTCTGTACAGAGTAGATGGTATAGTGGCATTCAATGTTAAGAAAGAAAGAGTTCCTTCTCACCCTCCTTTTAACCCATGGCCTAGTAGGTTAACACATTTAAAAAGACTCAAGCAAGACTTGACCTCAAATAATCTTTACAGTGTTCCTAAGAAGTTAAGTATAAGTAAATTGTAACATATGGGATTCATTTTCAAAAAAAAGATTTTGATTCTAAATTGAGTATTTTAAAAAAATACACTTTAGATTAGAGCAAGTTTAAAATAGCTAGAAGCAAGTTCAAGATATTTGTTGAAATAGTCTCCCTTTTCTACTTTTATTTATACTCAATATGTCCTCTCTCACCCTCCCTGTCCATTGCCCAAATTTCAGTCAAGAATGGGCAATATAATGGGGTAAGACCATGTCCAAATAGTATCTAAACAACGGGATGAAAATAGTGAGAAATTTGTAAAAGCTTTTTTGGCATTAGAAAGAGAAAAAAAATTAAAGAAGCTAGTGGTGGTAGTCTGGTAATTGGGCGGGATTTTAAAGTATTTTTCTCCTTCTTGGGCTCTAAGTCTACTGTCTAATTTCTCTTTGTTTAATAGAAGTCAAAGGACTATTTCTAATTGGATAAGTTCCATGAGGAGGGAGAGGAGATGATAATTGTCTTTCACTGTTGTTTGACTTCAGGAAAAATAGTTGTGGAAGAAGACTCACAGACAGAACCATAACCTAAGAAAGTTTAAAACAGAGGATAGGAGTAATTTGAAAATAAAAAATTGCATTAGTGATAAATTACTTACTGAATACAGCAGGTGATAATCCTCACTATTTGGTAAAAGATTGGCTCTATCCCCATCTGCCATGGTTGCTGTTCTTAGTCTATTCACCAAACTGGCTTTGTCATTTCTCCCCATACTTACAAGATTTCTTATTTCTGCAGACGAAAAGAAATGCTAGAAAGAGCTAGAAATTCTGATCACAACTTGAGGATTCTAGGATTAAAATTTCAAGTCACTATAATGATCACTCATCAATGACCATGAAGAGCATTTCCTCATCAGAGAAATTTGCATATTCAGCTTAAAGATTTGGCAAGCAGATGAAAAAAGGTAATTGTGGCAGACGTACTCCCAGGTGGCCACCAATGAGTGATGCCCTTGTATAATCCCCTCCCATTGAACACACAGGGAACCTGTTATTTATTTCTAACCAATGACAATTGGATATCACGCTCATGAATATGGTTATTTATATGACAGAATGAATGACATCAAGGACCGAAGGACAACCTCCAGTCAATAGCCAGTAAGAAGTCAGGACCTTCGGTTGCAAAGCACAAGGAAATGAATTTTGCCAACAATCTGAATGAATCTGGAAATGAATTCTGCCTAAGTTGAGCCTCCAGATGAGAACACAGCCTAGTCGACTCCCTGATTGTCACCTGGTGAGATGCTGAGCAGAGGACTCAGTTAAGCAGTGCTTGGACTCCAACATACAGGAACTGTAAGATAATAAGTGTGTGTTGTTTTAAGCCATGAAGTTGATGGTAATATGTTTGTAGCATGGAAAGTGAATACAATAGTTGACTTGCTCCAGCCACGCCTCCCAAAGATAGGCTGCTCTATTATTTCTCTCTTGATGATTGCAAAAGATCTTATCACTTCCTTGGAAACATGAAAGAAAACAAAACAAAACAGAAATTCATATCTTAATAAATTAGTTTGCCATAAATAGAAGTAATGCTGTTAGTAGACTTCCTTGAAAGTGGAGAAAGCATTTAATAAGAGAAATATATTAAGAAGCTGTGAAATAACTCAGTTATAAGGAAGTTTAGGATAAATAAAGGAAGACAGTTATCTGATAAATTAAAAAGACTTAGAAAGCTAGAAGACTTTAGTAGTTTTTTTTTGGAAAATCAATATATATTCTATGTAGGGTAAGTTATAAGCTCAACTAAATGTACTAACACACAGTCCATGATAGTTCTCAGTGACTAGGGTTTTTTTTTTCTTTTTAAGTAAATTATCTTAATAGTTTATTCACAGCATAATATTTATTTCATGGGTATTCATAATTGACTATCAACTACATTTTGAAATCTGTTGAATTTGACATTAGTTTCCTTGGAGCCAATGTTCTGTATTCTTTCTTTTACTTAGCATTTACTTAAAGCCTTTTTGCATTCTCCTTTCCTTGCTACCAAATTCAGCTCTGATAAGGTGGTCTGGTATCAGGAATCCAGTTTGTAAGTCAGAGCTTTATATTCTCAGGACAATTTGTACTTTTAAGACTTCTCTCATTCATTCATTCATCTGATGCATTTTTTTGTTGAATATTATCTAGATGTCAATATGTTAGATGCTGGGAATATATAGCTATTGGCGAGAAAAACAGACCTTGTTTTCATTCACCGTCTAGTGAGGAATAGGAACATTAATAAACTAATATCAGAAATTACAGTCCCCAAACAACATGGGTTGGTGCATTTTGAGGTTAGCCTCCTCTGTATCATCAATACTATAATATCTCTTGGCCCAGAGGGACCTACTCTTGCCCTGAATAGACCTACTTTTTGAAATCTATGCACAGACTGCAATGATTCTATGATTAATGTATTGTTGAAAAGAGCATCTTATTTATTTATTTATTTATTTATTTATTTTTAATAGGACCATTGCATATACTCTCTGAGTACTTCAGAAATGCTGGCAATGAAAGCATGATCTATCTGTGGCAGAGGGGAGGCACTGGGTAGCAGAAAATGGGAGCTAGCTTCAGAGATTCTTGCTCACTGTAGTGGAGGAAAATTCAGTGCTGAAAGAGAGACTAAATAGCAACACCTTCATCATCAATATCATCAGCTTAGTTTCCCTGAATAAACACTCACACAGATAGGAGCTGTTTTTGAGGTAGGATAGGTTGGTCATTGCTAATGAGGTCTGAAATCAGTTCTGAAAAGATTAATCTGATAACAGCTTGGAGTTTGGGGTCAAGATGGTGACAAAAAGAAAAGAAAAAGAAAAACGAAACCAGTGTGTATAGTTTATCTATTGAGCCTAAGATGTGGAAGAGAATTATCGATGGGATGAGGGGCTAACATATCCCATACGTCTCTTCATATTTGTTATTCTTTTAAAAATTATTTCTGACTCGGCATGGTGGCTCACGCCTGTAATCCCAGAACTTTGGGATGCTGAGGCGGGTGGATCACCTGAGGTGAGGAGTTCGAGACCAGCCTGGCCAACATGGAGAAACCCCATCTCTACTAAAAATATAAAAATTAGCTGGGTCTGGTGGCAGGTACCTGTAATCCCAGCTACTTGGGAGGCCGAGGCAGGAGAATCGCTTGAACCCAGGAGGCGGAGGTTGCAGTGAGCCGAGATTGCGCCATTGCACTCCAGCCTAGGAGACAGAGCCAGACTCAAAAAAAAAAAAAGTATATATATATATATAAAATATGTATACATGTATATATAATATGTATATTATATATATTCCACTGTCATTCTCACCATCTCACAAATGCCTGTATTTTTTTCGTTGTTTCTGTATGTTTTTGGCTTTTTTGTTCCTTACTTCAACATTTAATAGCTCACTCATATACCTTTGAGATAACCTATTAATAAACTGAAATTAATGGGTAATTGAAAAAGTAACCTACTGCACCCAGGATTCTTTGGTGTGTAATAAATGTGGAAAATGCTGATGATAAATCTAGACAGTTTTCTGATAGCGTTTTAAAAATAATGTATAAGAAATAAAAGTAAAATCGGTTATATCATACCTAACTCATTTTCCTTCCTATACTTTTTGTGTTTGACCTGTTTCTAGAATTTGAATTTTTATGCCATTAGAAAAAACACAGTATTAATATTTAATACATAGAAACCATAAGTTAGCAACATTTATTGAATATTTTCTGTGTAAAAGGTGATATGTACATTTTCCTAGGTAAAGATAATTACCATGACAAGCTTTAGTTTCAAAATCTTATCAGAGAAAATTTCAAGTTGTCTATTATTTAAGATCAAATAATACATAGGTGTGTATAAATGTAGAAATAGAAAGTGATTTTTATATTTCAAGGTGCTCCCTTTTTCATCACTGAAATTTTGAATCTGAGAAACAGAATAGTATTTTAGCCTATATCCCTGATTGAGTCAATAAGTATTTATATTCCTCCAACAAGAAAGTCACAGAAACAGGTCTGAGAGGGGGAAGTGTGAAGGCACCATCTCTGCTCCCTGGAAAACTACAGTCTGCTAGGGCTGATGGGACTCATTACAGATAAAGCAGGCTCTAACGCAGCATGTGATAAATGCCACAAGAAAGGTACAAATTGTGGGCTGGGCGCGGTGGCTCCCACCTGTAATCCCAGCACTTTGGGAGGCCAAGGCGGGTGGATCACTTGAGGCCAGGAGTTCAAGACCAGCCTGGCCAACATGATGAAACCCTGTCTCTACTAAAAATACAAAAATTTGCCAGGCTGCACCTGTAATTTCAGCTACTTGGTGGGGCTGAGGCATGAACATCCCTTAAACCCGGGAAGTAGAGGTTGCAGTGAGCCAAGATCGTGCCACTGCACTCCAGCCTGGGTGACAGAGTGAGGCTATCTCAAAAAAAAGTACAAATTGCAAGGAAGGTACAAAAGGTCCTGGAGGTTTCAACAACAACAAAAACATTCCTTCTGGTTGTAGTGTCTGAACAGAGCAAGCATCTGAGCCTGACCTTGAGGGATGGATAGTAAGAGATAGTGTGTGGGGACAGAGTAGCATTGTAGGAAGGACAGATGAGCAGTAACGGAGGAAGTGTGAGCCTCTCAGGGGAAATGAGAACATGCCGAGATGACTGTGACTGAGAAAGATGGATGCGGAAACCACATTGATCATCGGAGCAGGGAAGAGACTGGGGATCAGTGGTCTGTTAGAGGCAAGGACAGGAGTTGGGGAGAGAGTTCACTGGGTGGCAGCAATGATGATGAGAGTGGATGGAAGAGATCCCAGAGAAGGGATCCACGGGACTTGGCACCCGAGGGCACTGAGAAAGGAGACTGAAGGAGTTGAGGGTGGTTGAAGAGTTTTGAGAGAATGTCAGAAAGAGAAGTGTATCTGTGGGGAAGGGAGATTTCAGTTTGGCACAATAGAATAATTGGTCCTTAATTTTTTATTAGGAAAATAATAGATTTTATTATGATGTAAAAAGAGATAGGGTAACATTACATTCCTAATGTGTCACTGTCAGAGAAAAGTTCCAAATTGGAATTCCACAGCAAGCACTGTGGGTGGTGTCGTGAAATGTTTATTTAGAAGACCCCTGGGAAATCAAGAAGAACTGCTCTTTCTCTGGAAACCTCCTTGAACTGGCTGGCCCCGCTCCATCCTTTAGCTCTCCACTTACAGGGCTTGTCCTCAGAGACCACTTCACCCCAGTGGACCTGACTGTTCTTGAGTGTAGCTTCCTCATTGCACCTGTAGCTTCCTTCATGACACTTGCCACACTTCGTATTTATAGTTGTATGATTGTTATCTGCCTAAATTTCCACTGAAAGCTTTAGGGTAAGAAATTTTTTAATTAAAAAAACTAAAATGTCACCAATATATGCTCAAGATACAACATATGCTGGCATTTAATAGAACAAATGAATACTAAATGGGTGTGACAATCTGACCAAGAAGGTTTTTGCAGCTCAAATGAAGATGTGGCTTACTGGAAGTTTCATACAACATGGCAAAGCCTGTAGGTATTTACAGATCAACTAGAGAAGGAACAGGCAAAATAATGTAAGTTTGTGGAATGTTTACTTAAATTTTTTTCTGACATCAGCTCTCATTTGACCTAATGCACAGAGTGTTACTTTGTTTGGCCAAATTAAATTCCTTTAGTGAGTGAGGGATTACTCACTCCTTTCCCTCACCTTCCCTTCAAAGTGAATAGGGAAACAACTCCACTGCTAATATTGGCTCTCATGGAGGTTGCAACAGAAGATGATTCTTAACCTGGGGGCTGCAATCTATATGCACATCCAGGACTGTCTGCTGACTGTACGCATTCACAAATATGTACTGATAAGCTTCAAATAAGCAGATGTTGTGGTTAATAAAGCATCAAAATATCTTCTTAATCAAGAAACATTTTGAAAGATTGGTCCCCACAGTAGGTCATATTGTTTAGGGTGAATTTTGACTGCGTGACTTTGAGCAGCTATTTAAAATTCAAACTTATGAGATAATGCCAACATTTTCTCAAAGTAATTGCATATGTTTATCTTCTGCCAGTGGTGAATGAGAGTTCCCCTTGCTCTACAAAAATTTAGTTTTTTTTTTTTTAAAGTTTCGCTAAGTTTGTGGGGGTAAAACGGTATCCTATGGTGACTTTAATTACTAACGATGTTGTACATATTTTAAGATGTTTAATACATTTATTAGTTATTTAGATTTTCTTACCTGTGGATGCCACTTTATGACTTACGCTCTCATTTTCTACTGGGTTATCTATTCCTTACTGACTTATATGAGAATGGTTTTGTGTATTATTTTTGGTATGAGGTTAAAGTAGTATTTCTAGTATATATCTTTTTCTTTTCTGTTTGTGTGTATTGCAAAACCTTCTCCAAGTTTGTAACTTGTTTATTTTTTTCCCACTCTATGGCATCTTTTGGTAAAAAAAATTATTATTAATTTTTCCTTGGACAAATTCACCAGTCTTTTCTTTTATGGTTAGCACATTTTGGGTCTTA